CTATATTAATTCTGACTACAAATTTTATTTAGACATGAATTAAATAAACTAAATCCTAAATAACTAAGATTTCCTACTACAATTTTGAATTAGTTTTTCAATACATACAACGGGTGATTTACATATGATACAATCGTCATCTTTGCATTATGGCTTTTTTAAATATAAAAAATAATTGAAATCTATTTTAAATGCATCCAAATTTCATAATCAACACCTCCACGCTATTCCTAACAAGACCAAACAACACCCAGTTGGTTAACAGTGCAAAAGTTACTGATAATACATTTTTATTTTCTTAAAAGAACTACTAATAACAATAACTACACCCAAAAGGAAAATAAAAGGGATAATTTCACATAAGCACAGCTAGGGGTGTTCAAACCGAATCGGAAAACCGCACCAAATCGAAAAACCAAACCAAACCGATTAAAAAACTCGATTAGGCTTGGTTTGACTTGATTTGGTATTGAGTAAAAAAATCGAACCAAACCGACATATAAATATATAAATTTTATTTATATATTTAAGACTTTATAGTGAATTTTCTTTAGAAAACGTAGAAATATTTGGGATCCTTTCATGTATTAACCTTGAAAGTGTAAATTAGCGAAAAATTATTGTTAGACGACTAAGAAAATAACTATCACGTATTACTAAAAAAATTCTCTCATTATAATATTTTAATAGATCACATGTTTGTCAATTTTTTCCATATTGTTTTTTGGTAATTAACTTTTTTTCATTACCGGGGAAGTATTTACAAGTAAATCAAAACCCTTACATATGATCCTGCTTTCCTATACTTCACCCCTCCCCATTTTTCTATTATTTACACATTTCCTACCTATTGCAACAGATACCAGTCTAGGCTATGTAGGATTTTCTCTGTATGCCTACTACTTCGACAATGCAGCTCTTGTATTATCTTCTTGCATATTAACTCCCACCCTTTTGTCTTAGCTTGGAAAGTTCGAGCATTCCTTTCTTGCCACACATAGTACACTGTTGTTGCTAATACCATTTTATATAGCTCAACTGTTGTTGTTTTCCTCTTAGTCCACTTCTCAACCCATCTTAGTTCCTCATCCCATCCATTTACTGATCTTTTAATCCCTTGCCATGCTAATAGTGTGCTCCATATTGCATTTGCATATGAGCATTCAAAGAACAAATGTTGTATGGTTTCATTAGCTTGCTTGCATAGAACACATTCTTGATCCACTTGTACTCCCCAACTCTGNTTACGGGTAAACAACCATTGTTTGTCATTTCTAAAAATAATTACACCATCAATTCTTATAAATTAACTAAAACCTTTGTTAAACGAACATTTTTTGGTAATTAACTTTTTTCATTACCAGGGAAGTATTTACAAGTAAATCAAAACCTTTACATATGATCCTGCTTTCCTATACTTCACCCCTCCCCATTTTCCTATTATTTACATATTTCCTACCTATTGCAATAGATACCAGTCTAGGCTATGTAGGATTTTCTCTGTATGCCTACTACTTCGACAATGTAGCTCTTGTATTATCTTTTTACATATTAACTCCCACCCTTTTGTCTTAGCTTGGAAAGTTCGAGCATTTCTTTCTTGCCAAACATAGTATACTGTTGCTGCTAATACCATTTTATATAGCTCAGCTGCTGTTGTTTTCCTCTTAGTCCACTTCTCAGCCCATCTTAGTTCCTCATCTCATCCATTTACTGATCTTTTAATCCCTTGCCATGCTAACAGTGTGCTCCATAATGCATTTGCATACGAGCATTCAAAGAACAAATGTTGTATGGTTTCATTAGCTTGCTTGCATAGAACACATTCTTGATTCACTTGTACTCCCCAACTCTGTAGTCTATCTCTTGTGTATAATTTGCCATGTGCTGCCATAGTTAGAACAAAAGTCCACCTGGGGCATCCTGTGTTGTGACAAACGACTCTTCTCCAGCTGACTTTGTCAAATCTTCCTCGCAGTCTGTGGTATATGTCTTTTATCGAACAGTTGTTCATCTTCATGATATCATCATAGCTGAATCCTGCCTTCATAAATGTCTCATTTGCTTTAATGATCTTACTTACTATCCAGGATATTTGTTTCAGTTGAATTTCCCATATGTGTCTATCTTTGATATAGTAACTGTGCATCCATTGTATCCACAACTTCTTTCTTTTCTTTGCAAAGATTCCAGTATTGTTTACATATGGCAGCTTTGTTCCAGATGGTTATGTTCATAATGTTAAATCCCCCAGCTGACTTGGTAGACAGACTTTCTCCCATGCCAATAGAGCCTTCTTTGAAATACTGCCTTCTTCATTCCACAAGAAACTTCTACAGATTGCTTCAATTAGCTTTGTGATTTTTTTAGGGAGCACAAAGATTTGTGCCCAGTAGGTTTGGATAGAGAATAGAACACTCTTTATCAGTTGAATCCTTCCATCATAGGATAGAAATTTGGCAGTCCATGAAGTGATTCTGCCCATTATTTTATCAATTAGAGGTTGGCATTGTACTATGGATATTCTTTTTGAGCTTAGTGGGGCACCTAGGTATCTTACTGGCAGGTCCCCTCTCTAAATTCCTAGAAATTCTAGGATTTCCTCCTGTGCATCTTGTGAGACCCCTCCAAAGAATATAGAACTCTTGTTTTTGTTAATCACCAGACCTGTAGCTTTTGAGAACTCCATAAAACAATGGAACAGTAGTTTAACTGATCCTATATCACCCATTCAAAACAATAAAAAATCATCAGCAAAACCAAGTTGCAAAATTTGCATCTTTGCACACTTGGGATGATAGTTGAAGTCTGGGTTTTGATTCAGTGTCTTTAAGCTCCTTGTTAAGTATTCCATTGCCATCACAAACAGGAATGGAGACATTGGGTCCCCGTGCCTCAACCCCTTCTTGGCTTCAAAAGGCTTTGTCAGAGCTCCATTGATCATAACTGTATATGTAACAATTTCCATACAAGCCATGATCCATATCATAAATTGGTCTGGAAAGGCCAAAGCATTCAACACCTGTTCCATGAAAGGCCATTCAATTGAGTCATAAGCTTTTTGCATATCCAATTTCATCATACATCTAGGTGATACCCCTTTCCTTCCATATCCTTTCAATAGTTCATGGCTCAGGATAATGTTATCAGTAATTACTCTACCAGACACAAATACAGACTGTGTATTGTCAATCAGTGTATCCATAACTCCTTGCAACCTCGTAGTTAATGCCTTGGAGATGACTTTGTATAATACAATGCATCATGAGATAGGTCTGTATTCTTTAACATTAGCAGGGTTCCTGACTTTAGAGACTAAAGTAATTGCAGTACAATTGACAGGTCTATACATATGAGCTATTTCAAAGAATTCCATTACAACCTGTGTTATATCCTCTCCTACAATTTGCCAGGATTTCTTAAAGAACACAACCTTAAACCCATCATAGCCTGGGGCTTTTAGGTCACTAATATCTTTCAGTTCTTCCCATACTTCTTCCTTGGTTACTGACTTGATAAGCTGAAGCTGTTGATCCCTATTTAACTTTGCACCCAGTTTCATGACATTTGGGTTGATAACTAGAATACTTTTAGCTCTTGACCCCAGTAACTTCTTGTAGTACCCTAATATTTTTGCTTCTATATCATCCTCCATTACAAGCTGAGTTCCCACATCATTTGTTAGACTCTGGATTCCATTCAAATGGCTCATATTCTTTATTTGTGCAAAGAAATAGGCTGAGTTTGAATCCCTAGCTTACCATTGTACTCTGGATCTTTGTTTGTATATACTCTCTTCAATCTTTCCCCATTTTTCTAGTTCACACTTCAATGCTTTCTCTTTTTCAATTAGCTCTTTATTCTGTAGTCTAGAGCTCATTTCCTCTTGCACCAACTGCAGCTTCTTCCTAATCTCCTTTATCCTTTCATCAACCCATTTATAGTGCTGCATGTTTATTCTTTTGATTGCCTCCTTTGTACTTTTAAGATTGTTCCATACTGCATGCATTATCCCTTTTGTACTCCTTTCTTTCCAACCTATCTCAATTTGTTGCATGAATTGTGAGTGATCAACAATGAAATTGAAAAATCTGAATAGCCTGTTCTTCTTTCCTTGTGCCTGAGTGATCACTAACTTCAGTGGTGAATGGTCAGATACTAGTGGCTCTAGCACCTGCACTTTCATATTTGGCATTGTCATTATCCAGTTGGCATTCACAAGCCCCCTGTCTATCCTACTATAAGTATGATGGTTAGTCCATGTGTAACTCCTTCCCACATATTGTAATTCATTCATCCCTGTGTCACTCATATACTCCTTGAAGTCTTTTGTTTCAATCTCTTGTACCTCAGATCCATATTGTCTATCTTGTGGGTGTAAAACAGCATTATAATCCCCCATAGCTAGCCAAGGACCTTACTGAATACTATGAATCTGTCTCATCTTGCTCCATAGCTTCAATCTGTCTTTAATAGTATGTAGGCCATATATTGCTGAAAAGCCAAATGTGACTGCTTTTGAAATAAGTCTGATTTGACCATGTATCAATTGTTCATCTACTTCCACTGGTTCAAATGTATATATCCTAGGGTCCCAAATTACCCATATTCTACTCTTATGACTTGTACTAGTATTAGATGCCCATTTCCATCCAGGTGCAATCTTTTTGATCACCTCATTTGTTTTGTGCTCTTTTACTCTGTGATCCACTAATGCTATGACTGCTTTATTATTCCCTTTTATAAACTCTTTTACCTCCTTTTGCTTATATGTTTTATTCAACCCCCTAACATTTCATGTTATCACACTCATACAGGTATAAAATAAGGATGATGATACAGTTCCTGCACCTCTGGTCTCCTCATTTGCATTTTGCTTGTACCTGGCTCATCATGTGTTTGGTCCTTTGCCAAGCTTTGTAATCCCTTACTCCCAGCTAGTTCATGCTCCTCAAGCTATTTAGCCTTAGCTGCCCTAGTTGTTGATTTTCCAAGGACTGTTATCCACCCCTCATCCTTTTTTGTGCATCTTTGTCTTTTGATTCTGGCTCTGACTGTTGAGTAGGCTCAGTTATTTTCTGTTGTTCATTCACCTTCTTTTCATTTCCACCATCTCTATCTGTTCTGAGCCAGACTTGCTTGCCTTTGATCACCTTCCTCTGTTGAATCATCCTTTGTGATTGTGCTGTTTTAATCTCAGCACAATCATGTCCTATTTTCAAACACTTTGTGCAGTATTTTGGCTCCCAGTCATAAGTAACTTCCTGTAGGATTAACCTCCCCGTAGGGTCTTGTAGCTTCACAGACCTAGGTAGAGGTTTAGTGATATCCATTTCAATTAGCATTCTTGCATAAGAAATCCTAATTGAGCCAATAGTGCATTCATCAGCATACACCGGATTCCCCAATGTACTACCGATCTTGCTTAATGCTTTCATACTCCAACAATTGATAGGTGGGTTAGGGAATCTCACCCACAAGGGAATAGTTTTCAGAACTTTGTCTTGTACATTGAACTCTTCTGACCATGCTTTCATGATTATAGGCTTGTTGTTGAATATGTGAGGTCCAGAATATAATACCTGGTCTCTTTCCTCCAAATTGCTAAATCTTATCACAAAATAACCTTCATTATGGTAATAGATTTGTGGCTTAACTGAAAATTTACCCACTGAGCTCAGGAATCTATCCATTGCTCCAATAGTAGGCATTTCCCCAATTACATACAGGACAATAACAGATCTTCATTTCTCAGTTTCTTGTTCAATATCTTCAATTTCTAATTTCGCTATTTTCTCGCTGTTTTGGACTACCGGATCTATGAATTGTAAATTCATACCTTTCATGGCCAATTTTTTACCTACCACCACATTTGCCCAGGACTGATTCCTCTGTTCATTCTTTGTCTCACCATTTTCCCCACTTTTAACAGTACCTGAGCTGCATGGTACTGTTCCATTTTTTATCTGCTTCATTCCTCGTGTTTGAGCTTTCTCGTTACCAGATCCACCACCTACAGCTTGCACAACTACAGGTGTAACAACAACTTCCTTCGATTTGCCTTTATCTATAGATGGATCTGCTTCCTCCTTGCTCAGCTCACTCTACATGCTCCTAGGAGTACAATTTCCAGTTGGTTCTTCAATTCGTATCCCTTTTTGTGACACAAATAATTCTAATACTGCATTCCTCGCTTCTGTTGATCGCTGGTCGTTGATTGAGATCTTCGTCTGGTTTTTCTTAGGTCTGCCTCTCCCTCTCCTGGCTTCCAAGCGCATGTTAGTTAGGCCACGTTAACGTGCGCCGAGAGAGAATCTTATTTTTTTCCATATTTACTAAATATATATTCACTTATCAAAACTTTATCTATGATTTTAACAAAGTAAGATTGAAATAATATTCATGTAACAAAAAAAACCTGAAAACCCGAAAAAGCCGACAAAATCGAACCAATCCAAACCGATATAATTGGTTTGATTTGGTTTTGATAAAAACCAAACCAACCCGGTCCATGTACACCCCTAAGTACAGCCTACATAGGTGCTCTTCATTCGCGTAGCTATCATTTTAAGTTTTCATCCGTATAACCAATGAAGCCCTCTAACATCATTGTCTGACTAACATTATCGCCTGACATCAATCTCATAATGATCTCTTTCCCTTTTTTTCTTTTTTCTATTTCTCCTATTTGTTTTTTTTCTCTTCCAGATTAATGTGACTATCTGACAAAAAGTCAAGTCATCACGTGGTTTTAAATCCTTACTTTTTCCCCCTCTCTTTGCCTTATTTTTGTCCGAAATTTACCAAAAAAAGGAGTATATTGTCATTATATATATACACACAATTGTACATTGGAATGCAATGTAAATACATTATTATATTTCTTCTTCTTGATACTTTCTCTAATTCCNTATATATATATATATATATATATATATATACAATATATATAATACATATGTATGAGTATACAACATATGCACTGAATGTACATAAATTTAACATGCATATTTTACACTAAAAAAAAACTTTTCAGCCATCATTAAACCTTTATTTCAATACAAAATTTACCATATAAAAAAGTGTCAAACTTTCATGAAGACCTCTTATACAATAATACTGTATATACACCCTTATATATTGAAAAAATATAATTATACATCATTATACGCAAATCTACACACTTATACCTATTTTATACATAATTACACAATATTTGTATAGGTGTGTATAAATACCAGTTATACCGTATATGCACTGAAAAATACCTTATGTCCATCACTACACCTCTGTTTAACACCAATATTATCAAAAAGAACAAGAAAAAAGAAGAAGAAGAACCAATCAGCTTAAGATAGGTCTAGATGAATCCCAAATTCTTAAATTTTGTCTCACCCGATCAATAATACTATTATTAGTCAATACCCATCTGGATTGAAGTACCAATTCACAATGAAAACTTCCAGATCTGAAAAGTTTAGCTTCACCAATGGCGGAATTATGATTTTTGGGACTTATATTTCGATACCAAATGCTCACAGTAAGAGACTCAGAGATTTATCAATCAAAATTACTTAAATCATTAATGAGTCAAATGTTTTCTTCCTCAACCCTTTCAAACGAACAACTAACTTCATATTCTTCATCTTACTCTAGACTTTCATCTTTTTGCATTAGAAAAGTTTGAGAGAATTAAAAAAAGTTAAGGAAAATTAGATCTGGAAATTGGAGAGGAGAAAAGATAGGATGAAAGATTTAAAAATTATAGAAGATATAAGATAAATATGGGAGATAGATAAAAAAAAATATAGAGGATAGAAGATGATGGCCTGTAGATAATGAAGAGGCACATGAAGAGAGAGCATTTTGGGCGTGTAGGGAAAAAGAAAACTAGGTTAGTGATTGAAATCTTTCCTTCAAATTCTATACAAAATGGGCTATATCGGGTAAACTTTAAAAGCATGTCATTTTTTATTATGGTGTGAAGTCATGTGTATTTTCTTGTAATTTAGATAGTTGTTGCTACCATTTCATTATGGAGTTGAAGGTATTAGAGTATGTATAGTCATGAATTTTCTTTTTGCGAAAATAATAGAACAACAGATGCAGATGGTACTAGAATATGTATTTAGTTTGAAAACTTCCTACTCTAAATTAAGCCACATTTTGTCTTAGTACAACAATCAGTGGGCATTTGGCTCTCAATTGTAAGCTTTGTCAGTGTCTCTTCTAGATTCTTCTCTCCTCCTCCAAAAGATTTTTTTTTTTCATAATATGAATTAAGTACTAAATATGTCTACTTTCTCTTGACCAAATTTATATTTTAGTAGTACTCACATAATTGGTGTAAGTTTGAATCTCACATTCTCATTTTTTCTTTTCCCTTCCCTTTATATATATATATATATATATATATATATATATATATATGCAAATTACTATTTCCATGGTTTTAAAATTGGTACCCCTTTATCATTAGACATGTTAGCACTTCTCCAAATGAAGGTAAAATTTTATTCCTGTATGACGTTTACACTAAATAGATATTTGTCTCTCATATACATATTTATTGATTGACCATAGTGATCATACTAAGTGATATACATTCTACTAATATTAATTTTAAATGCTAAAATTAAATTATAGTATAATTTAGTGTAANATATATATATATATATATATATATATATTAAATATTTTATATGAATTGATTTGGTATAAATATTGTGTGCATATAACTATTTAAGAAATGAAAATGGCAAAATATTTTGAAAAGGAAAAAAACACAGAAAGTGGCAAAAGCTGGAACATGTCAAGTGTCAACCATTTAAAAATTGGCTTTGACCGCAAAAGGAAAAAACCGAACCTGCAGTTTCGATTTAGGGTTTATGAAACGCCCGTCGTCCTAACTAGGGGTTTAACAACGCCGGTAATCTAGGGTTTGAGCTTCTCTGTGCCACTGCTGTCTTCATCAATTCCTACTTCACTTCCTCATCTCTCTCTACTATACTCATCCCCTCTTATTATAAGCCATGAATTACAGGTTCCAGAACCTTCTCGGAGCTCCTTACAGAGGCGGCAATGCCGTTGTAGTGAACAATACACTTCTAATTTCCCCCGTCGGTAACCGTGTCTCTGTCACTGACCTTGTCAAATCCGAAACCATTACGTTGCCCTCACAGTCCTCCACCAATCTCCGCCGCCTCGCCGCCTCACCTGACGGCGTATTTCTCCTCGCTATCGACGAAAGCAACCGTTGCCTCTTCATCAACCTCCGCCGCCGCGCTGTCCTTCACCGCATTACATTCAAGCATCCCGTTGCGGCTGCTAAGTTTAGCCCCGACGGACAGCTCATCGCCGTTGCTGCCGGTAAGCTCCTGCAAATTTGGCGCTCGCCTGGTTTTAGAAAAGAGTTCTTTCCGTTTGAGTTGATTAGGACATTCTCCGATTGTAATGATAAAATCACGTCGCTCGATTGGAGCCCTGATTCTGATTACGTGCTGGCCGGGTCTAAAGACCTAACTGTGAGGCTCTTTTGTTTGAAAAAATCAGTTAAATATAATAAGCCGTTTCTATTTTTAGGCCATAGGGATGTGATTATAGGTGCTTTCTTTGGAACTGATAAGAAAACTAATAAGGTTTGTAGAGTTTATACCGTATCCCGGGATGGTGCCATTTTTAGCTGGGGCTGCAGTGAAATTGATGGAAATGGAAATTTTGATGAACCAGTAGAGGTTATTTCAGAGCCAGAATCACCAGGTACACCAGACCAAGTGCAAGGGAATAATGTAGAAGCTGATAGTGGTGGAACGGTTAAAAAAAGGAAGAATTTTGATGGGAAAGATGGTGATACATTGGATGTAGAAGATAGATTTCAGTTGCACAGACTGAAATGGGAGTTGATAAAGAAAGACTTCTTCATGCAAGCACCAGCAAAGTTAACGGCTTGTGATTATCATAGGGGTCTTGATATGATCGTTGTTGGTTTTTCTAATGGGGTCTTTGGTTTATATCAAATGCCTGATTTCGTGTGCATTCACTTGTTGTCCATCTCGAGAGAGAAGATTACCACGGCTGTTTTTAATGATCTCGGGAATTGGTTGACTTTCGGATGTGCAAGGCTTGGACAGTTGCTTGTATGGGAGTGGAAATCAGAGAGTTACATACTGAAGCACCAGGGGCACTATTTTGATGTAAACTGCCTTGCATATTCACCAGATTCTCAGCTCTTGGCCACAGGAGCAGATGATAACAAAATTAAGGTAAAGGGATTTAGAGGTGCTTTTATGTGTGAAAATGATTGTTTAGCTTATGCGCTATCAATGGTAGCGTAATTAGTTTATGCAAGTTATGTAAAAAGTTTCAGAAGTAGTAGTCACGGCGTTTGAGGCAAAACTTGAAGTTAGCATTTATTTTAGTTTGCTAGGGACGCCATAGTTATAAGCTCATGTAGTATTTCAATCCATCAAACTACTGAAGCAACCATTTCTTTCAGGTTATATTTTTGAATTGTTTATATAGGAGGACTTTGTATGTATTGTAGATTGCTAGAACCTAATGATTCCCTCTTTTTTCTACCTAATAATTCCCAGTTTTCTCCATCTTCAGTTTCACTTAACATTTTTGAATTGTTTATATAGGAGGACTTTGTATGTATTGTAGATTGCTAGAACCTAATGATTCCCTCTTTTTTTCTACCTAATAATTCCCACTTTTCTCCTTCTTCAGTTTCACTTAACATTAGTCTACACTAAAGCTGAAATATTCACTGTCTACGCTTTGCAGGTCTGGACTGTTTCATCGGGTTTCTGCTTTGTAACATTCTCTGAGCACACAAATGCAGTTACTGCACTTCATTTCATGGCTAGCAACCATTGTCTATTAAGTGCCTCTTTGGATGGGACAGTTCGCGCGTGGGATCTATTCAGATATAGAAACTTCAGAACTTTTACTACCCCTACATCTAAGCAATTTGTTTCTTTAGCTTCTGATCAGAGTGGTGAAGTGATATGTGCTGGAACCCTTGACTCATTTGAGGTACTACGGTTCTGATTGTGTTGATCATGCATTGTACCATTATTTGTTTTTAATAATTATAATATTATCTTCTGTTTTGCTATTGATGCAAATATATTATCTTTGGTTTTCTTCTTAGATCTTTGTCTGGTCAATGAAGACGGGCAGATTGCTAGATGTTCTTAGCGGTCATGAGGGTCCTGTTCATGGGCTAATGTTTTCTCCTTCTAATGTGAGTATTTTTCTAATTCAAGATTCAGGAAATATTTCCTTATAAATAAAAAAGAATATTTAGGTCAGGTTATGTCCCTATTTTCATTCCTCTACGCTGTCATTGACAATATTTTGCTTATGCGCCATAAATCAATATAGTCCAATAATTTTGTAGAGCGTGATTAACCTTTTCTGGTTTTCCATAGGCTATTTTGGCATCCTCGTCATGGGACAAAACTGTTCGCTTGTGGGACGTTTTTGAAGGAAAAGGAGCAGTTGAAACATTTCCTCACACTCATGATGTCCTCACAGCTGTTTATCGTCCTGATGGAAAGCAGCTGGCATGTAGCACCCTGGATGGACATATTCATTTCTGGGATCCAATTGAGGGTCTGCTGATGTACACAATTGAAGGCCGAAGGGATATTGCAGGTGGACGTCTCATGACTGATCGTAGATCAGCAGCTAACTCAACTTCTGGAAAGTGCTTCACAACCTTGTGTTATTCTGCTGATGGGAGCTATATATTAGCTGGTGGAAATAGCAAATACATTTGTATGTATGATGTTGCTGATCAGGTGTGTGGTTTCTTTCGATGTTACATATTATTGCTTAGGGAAGCTGGTATTAAATATATTGCATGATCTTTTGAATTAATGTATTCTATCTTAGCTAATAATTTATTTTTTTAAAAACCCAATAAAACAATTTTATAATTGCCTTCGCTTACTTCCCAAAATAGGGATATGGCAACTATTGTGTAAGATGTGCTCAAATTGAATTAAGTTTGATTTGGTAGTGGGTTAGTGTCTTCTTCATCTCTTAAGTAGGTTTGTTCTATTGTTGAGTTTGAACTGAAAAGCTTGTAGGTTCATTGATTATATGTTGCTATTTATGTGTACTTATTGTTTTTGTAAAACTTACCCTAGTTTATAGATTGCTTAAGTGATTTCCAAAGTCAGTGTTGTCACGTGAATTGGGATATATAGAATAAAAAGATACAGGTACAAACAGACCTCTTACACACTACCCTCCCCAGACCCCACGGGGTGGGATCTGGGTATGTTGTTGTTGTTGTAGGTACAAACAGACCTCTGAAATACAAAAGCTTATGGGCAATCATTATGTTCTGATTGTTGATAGTTGTGAAAACCCATGGTGTTAATAATTTTATACCTATGTTAGTGATTAGAGATGGATAAAATCTTTCCCAAATTACTTTTCTCGATTGGTATCTCTTGTTTCATGCTGATATGAGATTTTTGTGTCATGATCCTGTAAAAATTCTTCTCTTGCTTTTGAGTGCACCATTGCTTCACTGGGAAAGAAAAACCTATTACCTTGCAGGTGTTGCTGCGTCGCTTCCAGATAACCCACAATCTTTCCTTGGATGGGGTTCTGGACATTTTGAACTCCAAAAACATGACAGAGAGTGGTCCGCTCAATCTAATTGATGATGATAATAGTGATACTGAAGAAGGCATTGATAAGCAAGTGAGAAATAAATTGGCATATGACTTGCCTGGGTCAATGCCCAACCATGGAAGACCAGTTATTCGTACAAAATGCCTGAGAATTTCCCCGACTGGCAGGAGTTGGGCAGCTGCAACTACGGAAGGGGTCTTGATTTATTCTATGGATGAGTCTTTTATCTTTGACCCCACTGATCTGGACATAGATGTTACTCCAGAAGTAAGTCTTCATATAAAATAACGTTCTGAAACCCTTATTAACAAAAAAAGAAAGAAAAGTTCTGAAACCATCAGGAGATGTTCATAGACTGAGATTGAAGGAAATGACATCCAAATTTATTGTATCTTGACTTTCAAAAACAAAAACATCATGTAGATTGGATGAATGACTCTTCAACCATGGCATCCGTGCATAGACACATTTCCATAACACTTATGTATGTACTTTGCTTTACAGGCCGTTGATGCAGCACTAAAAGAAAATCAGACTAGTCGAGCATTGATTCTTAGCTTACGTTTAAATGAAGACGGTTTGATTAAGAAGTGCATTATTGGTGTCGGTCCTGCAGATATACCAGCCGTAGCTTCCTCAGTCCCTGTTAAATATATTCAGAGATTAGTCGAGGCATTGGCATATCTGCTGGAGAACTCCCCGCACTTGGAGTTCATTCTCAGATGGTGTCAGGTTTCTTATCAAATGCTACACCTCTTTGTTCTTCCTTACCCTGACAGGGATTTTATGTATCTGTCAGTTTTTAATCCTTTTGCATGTCTGGTAGGAACTTTGCAAAATCCATGGCCATTCTATTCAGCAGAATTCCAGAAACTTGCTTCCTTCTCTAAAATCGTTGCAGAAGGCAATTACTAGGTTGCATCAAGATTTGGCTGATACATGTTCCTCTAATGAATATTTGCTTCGATATTTGTGCTCTGCAAGTGATGCGAAGTGACAGTTCTCTTTGCCTTGTTGGCTCTTTGGTATGCTCCTTCTAGGATTTCTGCTTTTGTTTGTCAACTAGTATATGACTGATGAAAGACTACAGTTTTAGAAACTTAAATCTTGACAATGCTCACTAGTTTCAGGATATTTCAATAGCTTACATATTATTTGCCCCCTTTCCAGTCAATTGGCCAATCTTCTTGATGCTTCCTGTAGCTTTTCAATTGGTGTCATTGGGACCACTGTGAACATGTTCTGGCCACGTATTGCAGGATTAATATGGAAATTCGGTTGTAACAATTTTATCATGCTTCCAAGAGTTAAGCGACATGAAGTCAACTGGTTCCGTACTATCGTCTTATACTGGAGACAGATTCATGTACTTGAGACAGTAATTGGGGCTTGCAATTCTTCAGCATTCATCAGCTATCGCAAAACCAAGCTTCAGACAGTCAAGATTACTCAACCGGGAGCAATTCATTGGACCGAGCTGGTAAGAGCATTACTTCTGTCCATGTCTTAAAAGATGGTCTGTGTTATTACCGGCTTGTCGGCAGTAGGCTAATATTTACATGTCATTTTTGGGCTTGTATTTTGTATGTCGATTTTGGTTTTGGTTTAGATGTGGAAGTTTTTGTTTTAAGTTTAGGATGTGGAACGAGTCACTGTATACTAGATTAGGAGGCTTCGTGAAATGCCTAAGTTAATCCTAATGTTATTTATCCATTTTCTTTAATGAACTAAAGCAATCTCACTTCTTCAAGGCAAATTACATCTACAATTCATTCTCTTCTGGAAAGGTCTAACGCCTATTAATTTGATGTTGATTCCAAATATGGGGTCTATATGTCATCATTGCCTTTTTCTTGGAAACAATTGACTCAATCATCATGTGGAAAATGATTGTAATAGTAACTACAAGGGCGACCATGGATATTCGAAAACCGACTAAACCGATCGAACCGTACAACATCGAACTGATTTTTATTTTAAGAAACAGTAAGTTTTTATATAAATCTATAACCACACTGATATTTAGGGTATGTTTATTATTTTATAAAAATAAATCGAAAAAATACCGAACTGTACTGAATAAATTTTATATGTGGAAAATATATTTATCTAGTAAGTTTAAAATAATATTGCCTTAAATTTTTCTTTGGACCTTGAAATTATGAAAACTATTACAAGCCAACAAGTAATTAAACTCAAAATACTAATTTCTAAAACCTATTATGCTACTTCTACTTAAATTAAGTTATTTCAAGTATTTTTATTAATAAGACACAAAGTATTCTAGCGATTATGGGTAGCAAACTACAATGTATTGAATATGTTTCCTTTCATATAATTTAGATTATCTTTTTGAATATTTAATTTTCTATAAAATTTATTCTTGAGTCCTAGTTTGGTTGATATCTTTCCAATCGTGTGATTTATATTTTCTTTGTCTTTGCTTGGTTTCTTTTACGTTGTTGTAGATTAGTTGATGGATCTATACTCTAGCCATCTTTAATTTTTTTTTAATTCATTTCCCTTTAAACAATAAATATATCTAGAGAGTCTTACTAAGTCCTATAAAAGAATGTATGTTATTGCATTCTGCTTTTACTAGTGAATTTTACATGATATTTTAAAAAATACCGAATATTAACCGAACCGTACCGATACCAAAGCGAAATCGATATGATTGAGACGATTTCGAAAAGTCTAGTTTTGATTATACATAATAGAATAATCGAAAAATTGATATGATACAAATTTTATAAAATAACCGGTCGAACCGAACATTGACACCCCGTCTGCAATGACGCAACCTACAGAGTTGAAGCTAAGGCCATTGAAGGCCAGATGATGTGATGCGATTATATCTCTGAAATACATATCATTGTACTATTATTATATGATATAAATGTCAATTTTAGAACTCTGATCTTTTATAAATATTCTTTAAATTTTGGACGGCACAAAATCCAAACCGATTATATTGACATGAGGACCATTATGATGAAATTCTCAGCGGAAAACTATGTAATAAACAAATCTAAAATCAAAGAAAACAAACAATTAATGTATTGATAAAAATTACAGTATAAAATTGCACAATTGTTAACATCAAAATTTGCGAGCCATTTTGATTAAAAAAATCATGCCTCTTATAAAATATTACTATTTAAAACACTATTTTTCAAATTGATAAGTTACTGGTGCTCGGATTTAATTGTCGGCAATCATAATTATAACTAGGAATCTTGACACTCTTTTAATTCTAGCTCTAACATATCCAGTATTATTGTGGAGTTTGGGGAGGATAATATATACGCAGACTCTACCCCTACCTTATGACGATAGCTCATACATTGATCTAACCTACTTATTATATGTAGTTACTTTGTTATTTTCTTCTGCCCTTTTTTTCTGTCACTTTTTTCTGCTCCAGCGACATATTATTTACATCCTTTAAATCCTCGAGGCAAATATATATATATATA